AAGGATGGATTTGGAAGTGTCAGGGAGGGAATGGGTAACAGTGCCAGAGACGGAATATGGGTAACAGTGCCAGGGAGGGAATGGTGGTAACAGTGCCATGGAGGGAATGGTGTTAACTGCCAAGGTAAACATGGTTGCCATCACTTGTTTGGGAAAATAGTGGCAACACTGTCAAGAAGCAAAGTTGGTAACACTTCTTGATGGAATACTGCAAGCTTGATGTGTTGTGTTATGTAGATTTGTGTTTGTGTTGCTTTGTGTTGTGTCGTGTCGTGTCAAATTATGGCGACCAGTGGTGTAATTTCTCACTTACTAAATCCACAAACTACGCTGTCTAGAGTTAAAGTCGTATATACTTAGCCGAATGTTACAACGCTGCACACACACACACCCAAACACACACCCACCACCCACCCACCCACGCACCCACCCACCACACGCACCCACCCACCCACACCCACCCACACGCACCCACCCACCCATTGACAGCCGCACAATAACAAGGCCCAGACACACGCACATGCTGAACACAGACATAGAGGGTCATCTTTTCATCAGTGCTTATATATAAATTGAGGTCTGCTTCTATGCATCGTTGTAGATAGTTAAACAAATGTGTGACCCCATCTAGGATGTTAGTTTCTCACGGGTCACTGCACGAAAATGATAAGGATCACCTGAAGATTAAACACCCCAGTTTAATTTACCTGAAGATTAACGCTAACCTAACCTAACCTACCCTAATTAAATCCAATCTTTAGGTGATCCTTGATAACTATTAATTTTTAACCAATTTCCTGTAACTTACCTTTTACCAATTTCCTATATATTACCTTTAACCAATTTCCTGTACCTTACCTTTAACCAATTTCCTTTATATTACCTTTAACCAATTTCCTGTACCTTACCTTTAACCAATTTCCTATATATTACCTTTAACCAATTTCCTGTACCTTACCTTTAACCAATTTCCTATATATTACCTTTAACCAATTTCCTGTACCTTACCTTTAACCAATTTAAAGTAACGGTCAGTTTATGAAGGCAAGGAGGGGGGGGGGGGCTATTTACCAAACACAGGGCACCCGGACCTAACCTTTATGACTCCCGTGTTCCACCAGGTGTGTGTGTGTGACTGTTAACACCTAGTAAAGTCTCTCATACCTGTCAATCATCTTTTTCTCAGTCTTACTCCTATCTTCTTCCTCTCTCTCTCTCCTCCTTTCCCACTTTCTTGCTATTCTCTATCTCCTCCTCCCCTCTCCCCCTCCCCTCTCCCCCTTCCCTCCCCTCTCCCCCAGACATACCAGGTTGGTGTAAATCTGGTCTCTGCGGCGCCTGTTGTAACTGCTCGTAAATCAGGTCATAAACCGTATTAGATAACAACCCTTGAGAGATAATGAACGTGTGAAGAGATAGTGAGGGATAACGGGAGAGATGGTGTGGCTGATGGTGGTGGTGGGGTGAGAGAGATAGTGAGATATGGTGATGGTGTGAGAGATAGTGATGTAGGTGTGGCGGTGTGAGATTGATAGTGATAATGAGACAGTTTATTTTGGCAGAACAATGTAGATACAGAGATGCTACAATAATAACAATACCAACATGGGTGAGCTAATTGAGAACCTGAGCTCTGTTAGTGGCACCTGTGATGATGGTGTGGGTGATGGTGAGTGATAGTGGTGTGGGGTGTAGTGTGGGGGAGATATGGAAAGATGATGGGTAGCATGGGGGTTAAAACAGGGTCACTTTAACAAGATGTGGTGGGTGTTGTACGGCTTGCGGTCAGTGTGAGTGAGGCTTCTTACAGTGCGGTAACACCAACAGTACAGTACTCCCTTAAACACCTCATACATACACGTATTTATATGCTTCTACATATAAATAAATACCCTTATACATGTAGACCCAAAATACATTTACGGTATTTACTTGATTACAGATTTTATATATTTATTGTGTTTTGATTCCAACTGATGGTCAGAACGACTTACTGTAAAGCCCCCTTCGTCACACTGCCGCCACCTGTTGGTTGTGCTGTAAATACGTTTGTGTATTGTCGATATTTGTACGGTAAATTTTTGTTGTGTAGGTTTTTGTGATATGCCGATACCTAGTTGTGTGTGTGTGTTTGCGTTTTTGTTTTGTTTTTATGGGTGCAAGTTAATGGGGTAATTAGTTCATGTATAGTAAACTATGGTAGTGCCTTCATCCCACTCCATCCACCCTGTATGGTAAACTATGGTTGTGCCTCCACCCACCCCTTCCTCCCCACAGCGTTCATCCCCAGGAAATATTTAGATACGTTCACTCTATTGATTTTTTATTTATTTTATTTTTTTAGAGACTTCATTATAAGTCAAGAACAACATTTTAAATATCACTTAAACATTTACATAAAAATTTTACATCATATTCAAAGTAGATAAATACGTGTCAATGTAACAACACATATCTGCAGTTTTTCATAAGTATATACAGTATCATAGTTCAACAAATATTTAATGTTCTAATTTAATGTTAAGCTCGACTTGTGATACTGAGTTAACATTAGGAGCTTAGGATTATACCTTCATGCGTCAGTTATGAGTTTAAAACGAGGTTCTTCTGTCAAAATATTTTAAATTACTGTATTTTCAAATTTCGTAAGAGCCAAGTTGATACATCTTAGGAAAAGGTGATTTGTTTTCCTATTTTCATAATTACAAATGAAATTAATGTCCAAAAGTTAAGATTATCTCAAAATCATGTGGAATTCAACTAACAGGGTTTCTTATTACTATACTGTATACTTTTTATTATTTTTATCATGATTCTTCTGTATTTGATTGTCCGTTGTGTCATCTCAGTTTTATTCTCTGTACCATTTTCTCTCGTGTGCTGATAGTCTCCATTACTTCAACAGTCAAATTTTGTATTCTCAGTTTGTAGTGATCACTGGCAGGAGTAAATTTCTCACTAGCGTGGACATCGTCTGTCAATGCCATATAGCCTCATCAGTCAAGACCAAACTAAGATGTTCTCACTTCGTGGATTCGGAGAAATGTACGGTACAGTATCTCAAATTTTCGTTGTAGATGACTCTTATTCATTAACATGGGATACGTTTTAAATACCGAAGTAGTTGAATCTAATTAATATAATTTTGACTTTTTATAAACTAGACATCAATAATTATTGATGTCTAGTTTATTATCGACTAGTGGGTTCCGTCACTTGTGTGAGATCAAGAAATTTTTCCACTTCAGCTTGAGGTCAGATTCACCCAGTCTATCGTCTCGTGATCAAAATCTCCATCGGTAGTGCTTGTGGTACAGATGCCGCCTTTATGGTCTCTCCCTCCTCCCCTCGCCTCCTCTCCCTCCCTCCCTCCGAGATCATAAAAATTTTAGTGAACAAAATGTTAAAGTACAGTTATTTGAGTGTCGGTGAAAACTCGTGTTTGTTGAAGGATTGCTAACAGAGCAAACGCAAGTCAAACATACATTACGATTTCGTACACGGTAATGTCAATCAACTTTCCTCCGTCTGAATGACTACAGTTTGCCCCGACCAGTGTGTGTCAGTGACCCAGCCACGAGTAGTTAGGTCGGCTGATAGCTGTCTGGTGTAAGAATATTTTTTATTTCATAGTTTAATACTGTATCCGCAAAAAATAGTAATTCGATAGTAGCTCCGAGAAGTAGTCGTAACGTGTCAATTACTACTCACCAGTAATGAGTAAATGCTGTATTACAGAATAAGTCTTATATAGAGTAACGATAAATATATGTCCATTTTTATTTTTTGGTGACATACATTTACCAACCCAATATACATGCTGAAAGAAATTAGACGTTGAAGCTCACTAATGAATTATAACATTAAATCCTAGTGGCATTGATGTAAGATAATGTTGTGTTTTTTTTTTTACGTATTCCAAAGTGAATTACGTTGTGATGTAAGAGGTGCGTTATACACAATAAATAAACTCCGCCTCGGTTGTCAAGGTAGTGTTACTATTCATCGGTGACACCCCCATGTATAGTCTCCTGACGTTAAGATGCCGGAGGAGGTAACCTACTTCCAACCCCCCCTTAACATGGAAGCCCTTGTGGGGACAACAGGGCTGTATTTCTGAGGAATGAAACCTTATTGTTATGGTACTTTGGTAGCATATTATTTTTGGCTGTCGTTATCCACACACACACACACACTATATATACAGGTATACCGTATATTTATATTTTAATTTCAAAAGGGACCGTTATAATTTTGTTTTTTATATTAATCTTGTCCCTGGATAATAGTTTAGGCATAGCTAAGCATGAACATCAGCGCCATCTTCGCTGAAAAATCACCAATGACCAATAACTTCTTAGCGTGTGATTACCAGAAACGTTGCTGTCACCACAATCACTATACTACCGTCACTATCACCACTACATACCGTCACTATCACTACTATAACCATCACTATCGCCACCAAAACCATCACTCAACATCTCATATATCATCACATCCATCACCACTCACCATCACACTATCGCCACCACATCCGTCACTATCACTCACCATCACAACGGGCTATCATTACCACCACTTCATTCGTGCCGTCAAGTAACTACCACTATCATAACACCATCATATCAGTACCATCATCACCACAGCCCACCATCATCATCACTACCACCTTCCCCGCCACTATCACCACCGCCGTCGTGCGAAGGACAAATGCCAATAAGTGTAATACCGTACAAACTCGTAAATAAGACTGGGATAAACTGGTAAGTATGTGGTAAAGAGTTTTAAGTCGCATCAGAACTAGATTACAGTTTGATAAAAAGATACAAACGTGGTTGGCGGAGAATCTAATATCATGTTCACGTAAATGGTTGTGAGGCAGTAAATGGTAGTTTACCATTGAGGAACAGCTAATGGTGGCCCTGGAGGGAGGATGTGGTAGGGGTTAGGTGAGGGGTGGTGGGAGAGGGAGGTGAGAGCGGGTAGTAGTGGTGGTGGTGAGGAGAACGGAGGTCCACCAGCCACCAGTTGAAGCCTAACCTGTGGAGTGAGAGCGCGCGACACTCTCCTGTCTTCAACCTTCCACGCCTTTCTTGTTACTAACTAAAAGACACTCCCGCAAGCATCGTGTTCTCATGGGGTGCATGTGATCACAGCAGGGGCAGTCTCCTCACCTGTGTGTGGTCGAGGATCCCTCCGGAAGTTAAGAGAATTCTGTGAAAATGAGGGTGAATTTGGTGATTTGGACGGGAGTGTTGTGTGGGGTGGGCGGCTGGGCCCTGGACCTGGACTCAGGTTTGGGCACGGCAGTCCGTAAGTGTGAGAGGATCACTATACCCATGTGTAAGGAGATGCCCTACAACACCACCAGGATGCCCAATCTGCTGGCGCACTTCAAGCAAGCCGACGCCGCAATAGAGGTGATTTTAAGTTTAAGGGAGACGTGTTGATGGAGTGAGTCAGGTGACATGTACAGTACGTATATAGGTATGGGTAGTGTGGTGTGGTGTGGGTAATTCAGGCTGTTTATCCTGGTGTAGTGTGAGTAATTGTAGGACAAATTCCCACGAAACCGAACCTAACATACCGAGCCGTAACCGCACTGGGTTTTAGAATTTGCAAGGTAATGTCTGCGATATTTCGTCATTATTTTGGCTGTGTCATGTACGATGGGAAATTATCTCCTGGGATTTTCCTCCACTGATATTTCGGCCGTGCACTTGTGTGGGTTACGCAGGTATTGCTAGTTGTGTCTAGGCGTGTGCGTGTGGTGATGTAATTATATCAATGATTAACATTAACTCCTTGTAGTTATTACTTCATTTACTTTCAAATTATTTGTATTGTAAGATCTTGTGCGATTTTCCTAATGTTAACCTCCAATTCATTGTCTATATAGCGTCATCTGGGATACGATAGTTCTGGGAGTAAACAGTTATTATTGTTACACAAAATTGAGTAAGCCTAGACATCACAATGCATACGAATAATATGATGTTTTGATGTCCTTATATGGATGGTTACTAAATAGCCTGCTGTAAACATCTAATATGGATATTTAGCGCATTTTGGATCCGTGTTTGAGGAGAGACTATGACAAGTACTGGACAGACTCGAAACTAATCCGAATGAAAAAAAAACACGTAGTATTTCGACCCTTGGATCTGGGGGTAAAATTTAAGATCTTGAGGTTGTACTGAAACTCGATACGTTCTCTTTAACACGAGATCCAGTATAAAATGAACACTGTTTTCCAAATCTGTAATGTATGTTAATTTTGTCTTGTATCTGGTGTTAAGTGAACCTATACTAAGTACAGTTATTATTTTTTTTTGTTCAGCTCTAGTTAAACAAGTTAGGCACATTGTTATAACTTAATTTGGTAGGAATAGTGAGTTAAATTCAAGATGTGTCCTCCCTTGTTTATGTACAGTACGGTATGTTTTAACACGGACATTTCCCTAAAACTTTTGTTGTTGTTAATGTGTGCGAAGGAAATCCCGGGGCGGATCAAGGAAAACTAAAAAAGTAAGCCGTGACCCACATCTTGGCACATCAATGATAAAAAAAAGAAACCCTGAATTGTATCCTGTACCTGTAGTCGTAGTTAAAAGTGCTGTACCTGTAGTCGTAGTTAAAAGTGCTGTACCTGTAGTCGTAGTTAAAGTGCTGTAGTCGTAGTTAAAAGTGCTGTACCTGTAGTCGTAGTTAAAAGTGCTGTACCTGTAGTCGTAGTTAAAAGTGCTGTACCTGTAGTCGTAGTTAAAAGTGCTGTACCTGTAGTCGTAGTTAAAAGTTGTAGTGCTGTATGTAGTCGTAGTTAAAAGTGCTGTAGCACTGTAGTCAAGTTAAAAGTGCTGTACCTGTAGTCGTAGTTAAAAGTGCTGTACCTGTAGTCGTAGTTAAAAGTGCGTTGCACCTTGTAGTCGTAGTTAAAAAGTGCTGTACCTGTAGTCGTAGTTAAGTGCTGCACTGTAGTCGCAGTTAAAAAGTGCTGTACCTGTAGTCGTAGTTAAAAGTGCTGTACCTGTAGTCGTAGTTAAAGTGCTGTACCTGTAGTCGTAGTTAAGTGCTGTAAGTTAAAGTGCTGTATCTGTAGTCGTAGTTAAGTGCTGTACCTGTAGTCGTAGTTAAAGTACCTGTAGTCGTAGTTAAAGTGCTGTACCTGTAGTAGTTAAAAGTGCTGTACCTGTAGTCGTAGTTAAAGTGCTGTAGTCGTAGTTAAAAGTGCTGTACCTGTAGTAGTTAAAAGTGCTGTACCTGTAGTCGTAGTTAAAAGTGCTGTACCTGTAGTCGTAGTTAAAAGTGCTGTAGTCGTAGTTAAAAGTGCTGTACCTGTAGTCGTAGTTAAAGTGCTGTAGTCGTAGTTAAAAGTGCTGTACCTGTAGTCGTAGTTAAAAGTGCTGTAGTCGTAGTTAAAAGTGCTGTACCTGTAGTCGTAGTTAAAAGTGCTGTATGTATTCAGTGAGTCGTTCTAGTTCATTGATTTTTTTATTGCTCGAGATAAGATAAGGGTTCGGAGGCTAAGGCGTATTGGCCTCGTCTTAAATCGATTTGTTTTTTTCCTGCAGACTCGTTGGATTTAATTCTCCGCCTTACATTTTACGTGTTAGTGAATTTCCACCTTTGTAATTATAGAATCAAGAGGGAGAAATGTTGGGATGAATACACACACATACCATGAAACATTTTAACTCCATCTATATATAAAATAAAGTAAAGCTTTGTTACGACAGAACTTTAAAACCATAAATATGGTTACCCGGTGCACGTTACGTACGGCTTCCATCCATTTAGCTAGGAAAGGATGGGTGAAGGTTCGGAGGGCCAGGCCAGCAATACCCCCAACTAAATGTTTCGGTGTGGAAAAAAAATGCGTTTCTTGTTTGTACGTGGATGTGTGGTTACCTGACAATATAGTACTTACATAAATTAGTCAGTTAATGCATCCGGTAGTAAATGGGCCAGTGTGTCTTGATTGGCTCTCAGAGATGCTGCTTCTGCACTAGATCAAATTCACTCATATGTCACAATCGGCAATGTTTGCGAATCGAATGCAGAGTTCAACACCCAGTCAGCAGGTATTGAGCTCAGCCCCGGTACTAAGACTACTCGCTCACTGCCCATAACCAGCTAATTATTCAGCTATTAGAATAGAAGAGTGATAAAAGAAGCGAAATGATTTTTTTGCCTGTTCCGTCAGCCTGTGTAAGCGTTTTATGTTAATTGAATAAGCCTCTACTACGAGGTAGGAGTAGCACTTGGAATGGGCTGTGTTGGCACATTAATTGTATATAGTCAAAGAGCCGTTACCATCACACTAGCCACATAACTGCTAGATTCATTAAGTCTGAAATCTGCCAGATAAAACTGCTGCCATAAACACGATATCTAATGATAGACATGCTGCAGCTTATCTTAGTGGTACAGGAGTTGATTCACTATATAGTAAATTGTGAACTCTTGGAACAATCTGCCAGAGGGTGTTGTGACGGCACAGACTGTGAGCTCATTAAAGGATAGACTTGACCAACACTGGAGCAGGTTCCGATATATTCAGGAGCTAGTGCATGCCTTGTACTTGCCATCAGTGCGTAACAGAGACGTGACCGACCGCCCAAGCGGCTAACGGCTCGTCAGCCACTTGGTCGAAGAAGACAAAAGTAAAAGTTAGTACTTGCTTTCTTAACATGATAAGAGGGTGGATTTTACACACAAACACACAAACAGAGGTTACAGTTCAACGGGTCCATCTCAGGGACTCTACATCCTTGTGTAAGGTGAAGCGCAGAAGCGTTTACAGCGCCCAACAGGGTAGCATGCTTAGTTCATGCTTGCCTTTATGTCTCACGAGTTAAGGGCGTAGAAGCCTGAAGAGTCAGTGGTTTATGTCATGAAGTTATTGGAAGCTCCAACAACTTTCCCTGAATACGAGTTCGCAACTTTCGATTTACAACAGGTACCTACTTTACTGCTAGGTGAACAGGGACTAATGGGGGCTAGAAAGTAAGTCCAAACAACTTCCACCAGCCCGGGAATCGAACCCGTAACATCTCGCTTACGAGGCAAGAACGGTACCGCATCTACCACCGGTCCCCAAACGGTGAGTTAATCAGCCAATCTGACGACACCTTGACCACGAGTTTACCCAAGACGCGCACACCCTGAGCTGTGTATTGTGTCTTCAGCATCACGTACGTCCTGTTGACTTCCTGGTTGAGTGAGGGATTGTGAATGGAAGAGTTAGTGTTTGAGTGCAAGTAACATTGAGAATGTGAGTGGAGGTGATATTAAATGTGAGGTTTTCGTGTTAATCTGGACTAGCTCTTAACATATTGCACTTATTAGTTGTGTGTGTGTTTTTTTACAGGGCCATTGGTGCTGTTTAGACAACATATAGTAAGAATGTATTAATGTATAGTAATCTGCATAATCCGTTGAATAGGCTTTTTAAGTGCATGGTAACTCGGGCCGTCTGTATGACAACTCGGGCCGTCTGTATGATAACTCGGGCCGTCTGTATGATAACTCGAGCCGTCTCCTGTCAATCATCCGTCAGATCAGGACCGCTATATCAGTTAATCTTCTTGTAAGTTCGAACGTTGTCTGTCCCTGCGTTTTAATCTCTTCTCGGGAGTTTTATCTTGATGAATCACTGCTGGAGTTCAGAGATTTTTAGGATCCCTCGTGTGTGTGTGTGTGATGCTTTAAAAACTGAGCCAGTTTATCTTCTAACCTAATGTTTGTAGTTTACGCACACTGTACACACACATCGGGTTACGGGAGTCTCCACACTACTTCCGCCGCAGTGTTTGTGTTGTACGGTACCATAAGTGAGGCTGGTAGTCTCGTTCACCCACCAAGGGGATGAACTGGCAACACGTCTGCAGTAACTTTAACACTTTGTATTTTAAGTCTGACCCAAATATTTTGAATATAGATTTTTCTGCAATCCTTTGTGAACATACTGTACTGTTCATGAATACCCAGGACATCAGCCCATCAAAACTTAATTTATATCCCAGACTAGCAGTGTGTGTGTGTGTGGAACTCCCTGCCTCCGTTTGTTTTTACCTGTGTAATATAATCCCCATCAGATAAAATCATCATGGTTCATATATCTCCAGTCTTTAGCAGGGGGACGCCTCGGTGAAATGGTTTGACGAGGAAACTTGTCTGATCTCTGTTTTTTTTTATGTAAACAAAAAGTGAGAGACATCATCACAAGGAGCACTGATAAAAGGACCATAACAGGGGGACCAGTGAAGGCTCCGGGGGAGAACTGAGCAGAGGTTCCTCACTAATCAGTCACATAAGGTTTCAGGCGACCATTATTCCTCGGAAGAGTCGGAACTGTAAGATATGATAATATACTAAACCTACGGTAGCTGAACGACTTAACCACAAAGTAACGCTTACA